TCTTGAAAATGGCAGATTCGTTCATAAATAAATCAGCTGATTAGTCGGTTTCTAAAGTGAACAAGTACAACAGTATGCTTTGTATTTGGCCCCCCAAGAAAAGGCGTTTAATTAATATCCCCATTTTCTGATGAGCTTTCTTTGTCACCTTGAGACTGGCTAGTGGATCTGAGGTATGGAGTTAATAAAACAAGGTTTTGCGATATGATGGAAGATAGATGATTTTCTCACTAATTTAAAGATTAATTATTTTTATGCCATAAAATTTGTTTGGATTAATATATTTGAAAAAATTCAATATGGTTATATTGAAATACTTATATCATGTTAGCTATAGATATAATTTATTTGAGAATTTAGGTAATTAAACTTTTTTTTGCCCCCCAAATTGCTATATATGATTTTAATCTCAGCCCCTTAGTCCCTTGCAACCAATCCTACTCAGTGATAGTGACTTTGCAAAAACCAAAGTCCGTACTTCTCAAGGCCTGCAATGGTGAATGACAGCCCAAGTCGACCCAAAAATATTGGGCCTCATTCGGGCTCAGATATTCACGCAGCATTACAACCCCTGCTTTGGTTTGGCCCATAGTGGCCCAAATGAGTTGCTTTGGCCCATTACTGTATTGTAAATGGATTCCTTTTTCATTTTTTTCCACATTAATTAGTGCCAGATGGCCAATATCCATCCTTTCGTATAAAATTCAAATGGTTAATCTGATCCATCACTTTTTATAAGATTCATTTTGCGTTTATCGGAATATCAATATAATTTTACCCTAAATTAATATACTCTCTTTCGTTATCTTTTTCTTATGCATTGTCTCCATTTTTCCCCTCACTCTCACATACCCACTTAGAAATAAGAGTAAAAAATGAAAAAAAAAATATTTTTAAATGTTTATTACTTTTAACTAATTTTAAACAATTTTCTTAAATCATACAATTCGATTATTTTGATCTACCATAGCTGGGTTTTTTTATACTACTTCCGATTCAAAATATAAGCTAAACTTTTTTAAAAAAGTTGATTTTTTTATAAGATAATATTCACTTTTGTTCAAGCATTTAATGAGTTTTTTTAATTTTACTTCAATATATGCTCTTTCCTCTTTAATTTATTTATTACATCTTTTACTTATTCTTTTACTAATAAGAGTATATTAAGAAAAATAAATATATGCCTCACACATTTATTGTTTTAAATTGATTTTAGTTATTTTTTGAATAAATGTAAATGAATAAAATTTAGTTCATATTTTAAATAGGAAGCAGTATCTTATAAAAATGACTGGATTCGGATGCAGTTATTGTAACTTTTTCTCTTCCCCCCCCCCTAAAAAAAACATTTCTGCGTTCATGTAATCATCATTCCTACCTCAGGTCCCATTTAATTCACTGGCGTAAGTAGGTAAGCGTCATTAATAATTGTGACTGGCAAAAAAAAAAAAAAAGAAAGAAAATGATTGTGGGAGACCAGGTGAGGCCCATGAGTGTTTCTGGTGTACATGAGCGGCAGAGCAATGGGCCACGTTTTAAATTATAGCCCAATAAATCAATTTGTCCGTACTTGTGCGGAGCAGCCCCAATTTAATGCCCCGATTTAACCGTGGGACCCCCCCGGCTATTCCATTTCCCCCCATCCGTTTCTTTGTTTCCTTGTAATTTATTGTGAGTAATAATTAATCACGTGACCGCCACGCCATTAATTCCCAATTAATCCAATTCATATGTGGTCGTGGCTCATTTTCCCACTTCCAATTTTTGACACGGATTCTAATGTTAGGTTTGCTTTGATTTTGATTAAAAACCAAATCTAACCTAAAGATATTAAAGTTTTGGACATATTCAACTTAAGATTAAGCAAGATTGGCCTACTTTGGTCATCTGCTTAAGTTAGTTTTAGTGGCGGAGGGAGGGATGACGTGGCATTATAATCCTATAAGTTTTTTGATTTATACGAAATAAATATGTCAACGCTGGGTTCAAATCCAAGATATTGTTTAAGTATGATGATACTGTTGGACAACTAGTCGTCAAGTATGAATTCATAATTTGACTTTTAATTTATTGTTCTGCAAATCATATTAAGTATATGTAAATTTTAAAAAGTTATTGTTTTGAGATAAATTTGATAAAATTTAAAGTTATTTTTATTAGCATGAAATATGTTTGGAATTTTTTTAAGTAGGTATAAACAAGTTAAGTTAAATTTTGCACTGTATCTTATTCAGTAGAAAATTTAGTATTAAAATAAAGTTTAGTATAAAAAAAGAGAATTTATTAGTTACACACGGGGAATTTAGTAATATAGAAATTACTCAATGTGACTATGAAATCTTCTTTGTTTTACTAATAATTATATAATACACACACATGTATGCATGCATATGTATATTCAAAGAACCAAATTAATGTTAGTTTTAAATAAAGGAAAAATGTTAAATATTTTGTAAAAAAAATATTATTTAAAATTTGATAATATATTATAGATAAAAATAAAAGATTATCTTGACAAAAAACGAGTTCATTAAAAGCATATTAAATTCATCTAAATTTATTACATTATATTAGTTTTACAAAATTAGGGAGAATGATAATTAGGTCTCAAGACTTTAATTTAGTGGTATTGGTAAGCCCCCCCCCCAAAAACAAGTTACTCTGCTAAAGAATATGTTGCAAACAATTATAAATATGAAAATTTACTTTGCAAATTATGATATTTAATTGTCATTAGTTTTATTATTTATAACCAAAACTCTTATATTCTAACTATCTAAATTGATATTCTTAATTTATCTTATAATAATTTTTTTCAAGAACTTAACATTTTCTGGCCAAAGTGTCATTCTGTCATAAATCTATTGGCATCTAAATTATAAAAAAATCAGCATCCATGAAACAGACAGTTAAGTCGCATGGTATACAGTTTTGACTTTCATTGCCAAATATCAAGCACATGCTTTTGGTGGCAGTGCACCTATGAATTGAAACCTTAATGCCTTCGGAATCGGTGGAACTATTTTTTTAAAATTAATTAATATTATATTAACGTGGAAATAATACACACACACACAGCAAGAAGTATTATTTATGAATCGTAATCAACACCAAAAATGCCAAAAAAACCTTTTTTTGGAAATAGTGCATTTCTCATTTTAATCAATAGTATTTTAATATAAATATAAAAATTTATATCAGAATGCACTTATTTAGCTAAATTATATATTTGGTCATTTAACTTTATATTTCTTTAACTTAAAAGATATATTTTTAGTCATTTAATCCTAAATTATTAGTCCTAAATGATGATTTTTTGTAATAATTATGATTGTTTTAAAATTAAATCTAATATATTAATATTTTACAATAACTTATTAACATCGAGGATTCAATATGATCATTGTTTGTTAACAGTTTTAAGGTTAAAGGATTGAAACTATACTTTTTAAAGTTAAGAGATTAATTAAAATATCGTATAAAGTTAACAGATTTGTTTAGCTTTTTATGAATCATTCACAATGTGACTATTTTTCATATTTTATATGATACTTAAAGAAAACATATTTCTGTATTACACAAGATTAGTAACCAAGTCACATTATTGTTCACTTCACATGCCATTGTCTAACTCCATGTAACGTCTAAAAAAGCAAAAAAAAAAGAAAAAAGGGAATACGTTGAACCTTTGATTTCACCATTAATTAATTTTTACTATTAATGTAACGTATAAATTTATAACAGATTATAAATATTAAACAACACATTTTATTCTTCATGATTCACATATTGTACTAGAAGGCAAATTTATAAAATATAGGATTGAAAACGAAACACGGTATTTACTACAAGTCTATCAACCAGCAGTATGACTCATTCATCTGATTTCCTTTAAATGTCATCCCAAAAAAAAAAAAAAACAAACAGAACTAATTTCATTAATAAAATAGGAGTTTTATATTTTATTAATATCTGAGTGGATAACTCATCAGAAAAATCAAAATGCCTCATCTTCACTTCCCAGCGAGGAACCAACGTACCTGTAAGCCGCTGGTAGTTGGGTCTTCTATTTTTGTTCATATGGTATGGAAGGTTAGATGCGTTGACAGTTGACTCACTCACCCTTCAAATTTCAATCCCTTTCTTTCCAAACACTCCTATCTTTCAAGTTTTTTAACCTACTCTATAGTCTATACTCTATAGTCTATACTCTATAGTACTATTTCTCTCTCTCTCTCTCTCTCTCTCTCTCCTCAATATATACTCAACTTATTGTAGTTTCATTGTCCTTTTACTACTCTCATATTTGCCAAAAGAGTCTGTGTCTCTCAATCTCTCACATGGCACCAAAAAGCCAGACTGAGTCATCCATTGGGAAATTCATTAACCGAGGAGCTTGGACTCCCGAGGAAGATCGAAAGCTTGCTCAGTGCATTGAACTTCATGGAGCCAAGAGGTGGAAGACCATTGCTCTTAAATCAGGTTCCTTATTTCACTCTCTATCTATCCTGTCTATACCAAAGCCAAGTTTTTCACTTCATTCTTCTTCTTCTTCTTCCTCCTCATTAACCTTTTCTGGGTTCTCTGTTTTGTACTTGCTTTTGCAGGTTTAAACAGGTGTGGCAAGAGTTGCAGGCTGAGATGGCTCAACTATCTGAGGCCAAACATCAAGAGAGGCAACATTTCACTTGAAGAAGAAGATTTGATTCTTAGGCTTCACAAACTCCTCGGAAATAGGTGCTTCTTATACTCATGTTTTCTATATAATTTCAAGCAAAACACATTCTTTAATTTGCACAGTGAATAAAAGCTAACCCAGTAGGAGTAAATATATATCAGTAGAAGCAAATCTTGCATATATCTCTATGCTTTAGAAACAACGAAAGAAAGAAACAGATTGAATGAGCACACATGTCAGTTTAGTTTCTGCACTGTATAATATATTTGTTAGCCAATCGGTGTAAGAAATTTCTTTCCTATAAGTGTGGAAGATGTTAAAATTCACAGTCCTGACATGATAGTTCCTTGATACATGGTAGAGACAATTTTAGTAAATTTTTTTATATTATTATGATTACATTCGCATGTCTCATAAATAGGAAGAGCCAACTCAATCCCTTAAAACATACTACTCCTAAAGACATCGATTCCTGTGGGATCATAGTACTTGAAGCGAGTCAGCACTGAAACATTATGAGAATTTAAAGTTCCTGTTAAGTGGTTGTTGGATAGAGTTATTGTATCTGACATTAAATTTTGTGTGCAGGTGGTCGCTGATAGCTGGGAGACTTCCGGGACGAACAGACAATGAAATAAAAAACTATTGGAATTCTCATTTGTGCAAAAAAGTGAATCGGGAAGAGGAGAAGAAGAAGAAGCCAAACACTGCAACCCCACAAGAAAGCACACCCCAACATACCTGGGATAGTGCTCTCGTGGAGAATGAGGAAGCCATTAAAGGAAATGGACCTGTGAACTCAGAAGTTAGCTTTGATGTGAATGAGTTCCTTGATTTCTCTCCCAAAGATGGATGCTTTCGTGAGTTGGATTGGATGACCAAGTATCTAGAACTAGATGAGTTTCCAGGGAGCAGTGGACAGTTTTGATCCTAAAAAAGTTTCATAAGAAAATTAATGCCCCGTGGATTTTGGAGAAACCAAGTGATCTAGGACGGTGTTGGAGAAACAAAAGAGCTTGGTGATCATTTTAGGGTTCACAAGTTTGTGCCTTTCCTTGCTTGAAATTTACTGAATAATTTTCTTTAGGGCTTTAGAGGATCCCAATATGAAGATTGATATCTGTAATTAAGTAGAGAGTTTGGTGTTTTCTCTTCTGTGAAGAATCAGATGTGTTCTGTATCTGTATCTGAACTAGTCATTTCTTTGTGATGTGAAATGAACGGTCGGCTGACAATGCAAAACCTTGTGAAGGAGTGTATCATATATAACAAGATGTAGCAGAGCGCATTAATTCTCATTCCATTATTTCAGACAGCTAGGGTTTCTCTGCTTGATTATGATAGGGAAAATTTGTCTCCTTATCATCAGCACGTGATTAGATAACAGCAAATGCATGAATGCCTCTCGGGTAAGAAAAATCGTTTTAGATCCAATGAGTAAATGCTTTTTCCATATACTTCCAAACAATGAAGCAATAAAAGGCTGTCAAAATTCTGCATATAGAAATGAATGGCTTTAAAACACACAGGCCAAAAAACACAACCCTACCGAAGTCATCTGCTCAATAAATGCTGAAAGAATAACTACGTCCGTGGGATTTGAATATTGTTTAGCCTGTTGAACCATATTGAATGCAAAATCATGTGGAACAGATCATATCTTATTGGTTTTGGGTTCCAGAGGAAATGCTTCTGCACCATCTTCACATTAGTTTGCATGGCAAGATATCTTGACATGGGAATGGACAATAAAATTTCCTTTAACCTGGGTATATCCTTCTCAGCCACCACCACCGAGAATGCATTCCAATCCAATACCTCACTGAGAGGGAGGACGAAATTATCTGCAATGATCACAGGAACACACTCATAATATATGGCCTCGACAATCCTCGGGCTATTCACTTCATAGCCCATTGGACATAGACAATATTTACTTGATTTCATGTGCTGGATGTAAGTCATCCTTTTGGAAACTAGTTGAGGTAAACGCTGATAAATTTTCATGTCTTCATCCTTTTCACCACCCCAATGCTTAAGAAGCTTGGGACGTACTCGACCGTGCATGCTTCCAGCAAAGAAGGCGAGAATTGGACGTTGTGACACTTTATTCCCACCAACATGTCTTAGAGGTCTTCTGGGTGCCCTTATGGTTGTTTCTGGGAGCGAAACATCTCTTCCCGCAATGAAGATTCTTTCCGACGTATCAGCATTACATAGAGCTTTAATGCTGTTTCTGGCCAGTTCATCATGCTCAGTTACTGTATAAGGACCCTGCAAAGATTACATAGAGCTTCTTGTCAGACCAATGTGACTCATAAAGACCAAAATACAAAGAAGAAAATATATTTTATTCCTCTGAAACAAAGGTTAATTATAATTTTAACATACTGACTTTAAATGTAACAAAATAACCTGTTATTTCGGGAAAAAAACTCAGAAGCCTAAATGTTTGTCTTCCTTAACATTAACAGGCCATACAAAAAACATTGTTTTTTTTCTTTCTTTAAAATTCTTCCCTATTGCCCCAAATTGGCTTATTATATATGAGCTAAATCTATTTCTTTAAATCTCCAATTTTAATAAGCTTCCATCTTCTGTGCATGGACTGTAATGAACACAATCAAAATCGTGAAAGGGAAAAGGGCTACAGTTTTCCGGCTTGGGTCAGGGGACAAGGGATTTCATTTGTTGACATACGCTCCCCAAAAAATCTGACCTTAGATAAGACTGGAAATTAACATTTATTAATTTTTTATAAAATAGGGTGATTTGTTACATTTTTAAGTTGATATACTGAAGTTGTAATTAGGCACTAGTCAAAAGGGGAAAATGTATCATACAAAATATAATATTTATAACAAATTGCATGGTTAGTAAGCCATGAAATCATGTCTAGTTTTTTCCAACAAGAAAAAGGAAATTCTAGGGCTCAAGGCAATCATCGCATTTCTTCCAAACAAATAATTGGATTCAAGTCAGCAACAAATTTATGGAGAATAGAGATATGCCACATACCCAATCATGGCAAGCAACGAGGAAATGGTCTGATCCATGTGAGAGATTCCAGAATGGATACTTTGCGGCAATCTTGTTCACATAGTTCCTCAGAAAGATGGCCAACGGTTTCAAAGAATGAGATCCAGGCACATAGAGTGCCATCTCCAGTTGACGTGCACTATATGGCAAATAAAATAAATGAGCTTTTCTAGGGTCTTTGGTAACAAACTGCTTGTTTTCCCGCATTAACTTCATAAACCATCCTTCAGAAGCATAGATTCCCTTGAGGAAAGGTTTATGGAAAATGGGTCTCGATCCATCAGGATAAATATAAACTTCAAGTATTGCTTCCATCAATTCGTAACTCCTGAAATCGAGGCAAAACATTTCTTTGAGATGTCTTTTCACAAATTTTCAACTAGGACAAAGTAATGAAAACAATGAGTGTGTTATGTTATATGACATTACAGTACAATATATAGACATAATTAGCAGCCACTTTCTATATTTTACACAATACCAGCAAATGTCCTAGATTATGAACTGAGTTGTGAACAGTACACACTACGATTACCTTTTTCTCTCATGCCACATGAATAATGCCCATGCACAGGACGACGAGAAATTTTCAAAATGAACTAGAAGAATAGAGTTAAGTACAATGAAATACAGAGCCAAAGGTGTTCGCTAATGGAAGATTAATATTCTACAATAACATATGTTTTTGAAATCTTCTAACTCTTTGCATTATGCAACGATATCACAAGTTGGGACATACTAAATCCCTGCGGTTGAAGCTTTGCAGGTGCTTTAATTCATCCCTAAGGTGACTTTGATAGTTAAATCCTGGATCTATTTCCATTTTCACAATTCCAAGTCCAATGAACTTCATGGAGTGTTCTAAAGCTAGAAACTCTGCCTTAATTTGATCAGCTTCTTAATAAACATGATCATAAATTCATATAGAAGCCTTTATAGACTCACTAGCAGCATAAGCATACAGTAGAGACATCAAGTTGCACAGCAAACAGTCAGCCCACATTGATTAGAATCACAGAGGTTTTAGAGCTAGGAGAAAAATGGTTGCCCTTCCCCCCACTTTGAACAGTCACAAGCGAAAAATAGCTTTCTGATTTTAGAGTGGTAGACTCTTACTATGCAGGACTCTTTACTCAGTAATTAGCATGCATAAATCATGATAGAACCTACAAAAGAACATGACATAAGCAAAACAAAGGATTTTCCCCCCTGATGCAGTACCTTTTGAAAACAGAAATGTTCCTGAACAGAGGACTGTAGAGATCTGAATCTTCGACAACTTGAGGCGCATGTTCAATCTCATTCTTTGCATATGCAAGGGCCGCATTCGGTGGCATAGAACGTATGTGCCTCTGAGATATATATCAAGTAAATTATTTGTGACACCTCTCCCAATCATACTTAAAAGAAGAAAGAAGTACGCTCAGAATCTCATCAACTCCTACCTGCAATCTGGAAGGGACCAATCCATGAGGAGGGGAATGTGTAATGATTGCTGTTGTATGGGCAACCTTTTTGTCCTCCTTTCCGCCATATACAGAAATATTGCTTCGATGAGCTTCCACACTATCTGATTCAACTGGAACTGATTGTTCTGACCTGTTAGACACATTAGGTGAAATGATAGAGGCAGGTTGGTGGCTAAGGTGAACCTGTTGATGTCTGGCCTCTTCTAGAAATTCATTTGACTCCCTAGTGTTGATCAAGGATTGATTTGATGAAACTGATTCAAGAGGAGAAAGGTACTCCTTGTTCAATTGATGACTCTGTACAAGCATCAGAAACACAATGACAGATATTGCCAAAGTGGCCCCTATAAAAATTAATCTTCTCCAATCAATTTTGTGTCTAGAGCACCGCCGTGATAATTTTCTCATAGTGATGAAAGCAGAATGCCTTAATGCTTTTCTCATATCATTATATAAAGCAGATTTCCAATGCTTCCAATAGAATACATAAATCTCCTCAGTGATACTACTTTTGAGTATTAAACTCTGAGTAAATAAAACAGGTCCATTCCAGACTTCAGAACTTGAATTCTATTTTGTGATGCTAAGTTCCTAGAGACACCAAAACATACTGACAATCAGAAACTTTTATAAATATTAAAAATTTAAGATGAAGAAAAAGAACAATGACAACCACAGCTTACTTTCCTTCAAAGGCAAGCAAACAATCAAACATTTGGATGGAAAAAGTTCACAATAGACTTATGGCAATATGAAACTACTATTTGCACTCAAAGGCACCACAAACACTCCTTCCTTGCAGGTTTTCCTTTTTAAAAGGAAATGGTTAAATTAATTCCGATGCACGAGTAGTGCCTGAGTGCTCACTGCAATTTCAAAAGCCATCAGGCGTTGAAACTACAATATTATCAGAAATTCAAAATCTCCGTATTTGGCATTTTTTAGGCACCCAAATTTGAACCTGGTGCGTGCTGTGTGAACAGCTGTTCACAAATTAACTTTTCTTAGGTGTTAGACCAAGTGACTGTGAGTCTCTAAAACTATAGCTTCATGACTTATTGACGTAATTTCCCTTAGTATGCGCAAGAACCTCGTGATCCGGATTCAGAGGCCTAATTGGATCATATTGAGCTTATATAGAAATTCTACAGTCACTACAAATGGAAATCCTTGTCTAACAATCCTAACTCGTAGCCATCTACAATCATTTGGGTTCCATATATGAATTACTCTGTTCGATCAGAAGCAAACAACAATAAATATCTTCAATTATTGATCTGTCTATAGTTTCCAATTTCCATCAGGACACGAGCAAATAGATCATACATGGAAAACGAAAAGCTAAATTTAAATATAAGCATATATACATGGGATAGATATTGAGCAAACGCGAAAAGAAGACGACGAAGAAGAAGAAGAAGGATATATAAAGCATACCTGTTCCTGATTCAGACGGCAGGAATAAAGACGATGGTGGATCTGATGAGCTGGGTGGAAGGTGGTAACGAAAAGTCAAAGCCGAAGTGGCGAGAGTTGTTTTGTATGAAGGAGCCTTGCTTCCTTTCACATGCCGTACTTTTCGCTTTACTTTTTTGACTTCGATAGCAGCAAATCCAAGCCGAGATTGTGCTGTTTCTTCTTCATCGACCACGCTTACAGCTATACATTCCTCCCCCGCCCACCCTCTCGTCATTTATTTCTGGAGATTTGGAAAGTCAGGTGAATATTAACATTTAAATAATTTTCTTCCCTTCCTCACTTTTTGATAGCATCTCTCTCTGTTTTTTTTTTTTTTGGGCCAGTCATATTGTCATTCTATTTAAGGTTTAATCAGCAAGAAATGTATGTTGGCCAAAAAAAAAATCAGCAAGAAATGTATTCCAGAATCTTATTTATAAAACAGAGAAATAATATTTTCTTACTCCTATTTATAAGTTATTTTATTAAATTTTTAGAATGAATGTATTATTTTGTTGTTCATTTATTATAGTATAAATAGTTATTTTTTTTTAAAAAATATATATTAAATAGAGATAAAATTAGAAAGCTGTTATATCTTATTAATAGAGAGTTAATACAGTTTGAGAATTTTTTTAATCTGTGTGAAACATATTGAACATACCTTATAAATAGGACTAGAGGGTATTTGATTTCATTATCATATTTTATCTATTTTATTTTTATGCAGTAAATATTATAAGTAATTAATTTATATAATTAATTTAATGATGAATGATATAACTTAAAAATGTACTGTAAATTTTCTATGCCTTTGAATGATATAATTTTTATTTAATACCTAATATTCTTTAAAAAATACCCATGAATCATGATTTGACTTAATTATTAATTCTTCGGATAATAAAACTTTTCATTAGCTTAGTTATAAATTTGATTCACGGAGTTTAATTTTTACCAGTCAAATCCTTAAAGTTTTCTAATCATACAAGGTTCTTATGGTTCAAATTAATGATGTGGACGACACCGTCAGAGGAGGTACTACAAATTGTGGAAGAAGATGCTGCTGGAGTTAGTATCCCGAGAGGGTTGTTAGTGTAGTGACTTAGTCACCTTTTGTTCACCAAAAAAAAAAAAAAAGAGACATATAATTAAAACCACACGTAGCATGACCATTAACTCAGAGAACAACCTTCGCATGGATTGCAGAAGAAATTGTTAGTTCACGAGATCAATCAAATAAAAAAAGGAAAAATGACACAAAAATAACACTTAAATCTGAAAATGTCAAAATGATCAATTAAATTTGTAAAATCCTAATTTAAGCATAAGTAACCAATTTGACATTTGTAAATTTACTGAAATGATTATATTGCCTTTTATTTTATTTATTGTTTTTTAAAAAACAAATAACCCTACTGGCCGTCCGATCCCCGGAGCTTAGGTGACCATCGTCACCAGAGCTCCTGTGACTGGCAACAATTTTTTTGAAAATTTTTACAACTTTAGTAAAACGGTTAACAAGTTTTGTAACACTATTAACAAGTTCAGTATAACAGTTAATAATAGGTTTTCTAGAAAATTCAAAAAGTAGTATTTTTACAACTTCAATAATATCATTAACAAGTTCTCTAACTTTATTAATAATTATGGTAAAGCATTTAACAACAAGTTTTTTGAAAAATTAAAAAAAAAGCATTTTCACAAGTTTAGTAACTACTTTTTTTGAAAATTTTTACAATTTCTGTAAAACGGTTAACAAGTTTTATAATGTTATTAACAAATTCAGTATAGCAGTTAACAATACTTTTTTCAGAAAATTAAAAAAGTAGCATTTTTACAACTTCAGTAATGCCGTTAACAAGTTCTTTAACTCTATTAACAAATTCGGTATAGCATTTAATAACAGGTTTTCTGAAAAATTTAAAAAGTGATAGTTTTACAAATTTAGTAATGCGGTTAACAAGTCATATACTGATATTAGCAACTCTCATAAAGGTTGATGTTTTTTATATTAGCTCCTTATTAAAGTTGTATAAAACCATAATGGCTACCTAATAAATGGAAAAATTTTGTTATACAACTTTAATAAGGAGCTAATATCAAAAACATCAACATTTATGAGAGTTGTTAATATCGTTACATGACTTGGTAACTGTGTTACTGAAATTGTAAAAATGTCATTTTTTGAATTTTTCAGAAAACTTGTTGTTAAATGCTATACCGAACTTGTTTATAGAGTTACAAAACTTGTTAACAACACTATTAAAATTGTAAAAATACTACTTTTTGAATTCCTGAAAAAACCTATTATTAACTACTATACTAAACTTGTTAATAGCACTACAAAACTTGTTAACCGTTTCACTAAAATTGTAAAAATTTTCAAAACAAGTAGTTGCTAAAGTTGTAAAAATACCTTTTTTTTGAATTTTTCAGAAAACTTGATATTAAATGCTATACCGAATTTGTTAATAGAGTTACGAAACTTGTTAATGGTATTACTGAAGTTGTAAAAAGGCTACTTTTTGAATTTTTTTTAGAAAACCTATTATTAATTGCTATAATAAGCCTATTAATAGCATCACAAAACTTGTTAACTGTTTTACTAAAGTTATAAAAAATTTTCAAAAAATTGTTGCCGGTTGCCAGAGCTCCAGTGACGGTGGCCAGTGGGGGCATTTGATTTTTAAAAAACAATAAATAAAATAAATGGTAATATGGTCATTTCAGCAAATTTATAAATATCAAATTGGTCACTTATACCTAAATTGAGATTTTGTAAATTCAAGTAGCCATTTTGGCATTTGCAAGTTGAAGTGTCATTTTTGTGTCATTTTCCTATAAAAATACTACTGTTCCACCAATAAGAGTTATCCATTTGGTAAAGAGTTGGCTCATAATCCACAAGGTCGTGAATTCGAATTCCGCTGTCGTTGTGAAGACTTTGTTAGTGGACGATTTGTATGTATTTCTATAAGAGTTTTTTGAGTCCAAAGATATGCCCTAATCCTAGTGAGTCCCCGGGACCCAACTCACCTAAACTTTCATTCACAAAAGAAAAAACTACCGTCTCTCCATATAAAAGCTAGTTTAACTTTTAATTTTATTCTAAATATAAAATCTATTTTGTCTATTATATTTATTTATTTTTTTTGAAATATTTCTTGTAGTAGTTACACATGTTAAGTTCTATCAAATGGTAGTTTTACCTCATACACATGGCTAACAAAGGTATTTTAGGAAAAAATAACATATTTATTACAAATAACTAATTTAACTAATTTTCTCAATATTTTCAAATTATTTAATTAGGTTTTATATTAAGGATTGGAAGTAGTATAAAATTATATATGAAACCACATAAACTTGATGGACCAAAAATTCCATTATATCTCACTTTTCTAAATAAATTTTTATTACTGAAATTTAAAAAAATAATAACAAAATATTGTATAATAAAATTCAATATATCATTAGTTCATACCAAAAATTTATATTACTAGCTAAATAATTAATTCAGAGAAATTAAGAAAATTAGTTACGTTGATTATTTATAACAAATGTGTGTTGATTTTTCTAAATTATCATATTTAATCATGGACATTGAAATAATCTCTTGGTGGAAACATCTTAACCTCTTGGTGGAAATATCTTAGAATCAACGGAGACGTTTTGAAAAAAAATAAAAATTTGAAAAATAAAGTAAATTAAAGTCTTATATTTTAGAATCAAATTCAAATATTAACTAACTCTTATATTTGGGATTATTGATAAATTAATTGTTTTAAACATGTGGTTTTAGTCTTTAAAATTTATTTCATTTTAAAATGTTAGTCCTTAAAAATGTAATAGTATTAAAATCTACTGAACTCTCACAAATAGCATTAAATATAGCGCCTAATTTGACCTTATGAGGATAATAGATTATGCAAACGGTGATAAATTCTTAAAACACAATATAATGATTAATTCCTCAAATGAATAGCGAGGAAAAAAAAGGGCTAAAATGTTATGTTTTGAGGACCCCTTCGTTGCTTTTTCTTTTTGTTATCTACACAAGATGTAGTTACGTGGTATCTAATGAGTTCATATTACCACTTAAACAACTCTAAGGGATTTTGATATTGTTACACTTTTATGAACTAAGGTTTTAAGACGAACTAAATTTTAAGGACTAAGACCAGGAATTTTAAATTTGAGAAACTAAACCTAAAATATAATGAAATTTTAGGATAAAAATTATATTAACTCTTAAATATTTTATGAGTAGATTTATATTTCAACCCTAAGGTTTTTGTCTCTATAGTACCCGAAGCAGAATTCAAGTCTTGATATGAGTGATAAAGGCCACAATTTTAATAGTTGAGAGTTTGAATACATAATTTGATTTTTTGGTTGGCAAAAAAAACATAATTTGACTTTTTTGACCAGGGAAAACAGAATTTGATTTATATCAATTAAATTTAGGAAGTTAAATCAAACTAACATGGACAATGCGACTATGATGCTATGAGTTAGCGCCCATTTAGAAGCGTTTATTAACTATTTTTTAATAATAATTTATAGAATATGAGGTAAATATACAGGGTAATTCCAAACGGAGTCGTGATATGTGAAACAATCTTGACATTAAAAAAGCGACTAAGATGCCATATGAACACGTAGGTGTGAGACACGCAACCCAATAGGAATTAGCCACGTCAGAACAAGGAACACGTGTACTCCAAAAATTGGATTTCGGAGACTCACAAAAATAGGAAGTTCTGCAGGCCAAATGGGAAATTACTAGAAGACCGAAACAAATTAACCATAAAAGTCCCCCAACTCCAGAGGAAAACGACGAAATCACTGTCAAAATAGAATGGCATATTAGTAATTCAGAGTTTCATACTCCTGGAATTCTATTTCCACCTCCAAGTTCCATTTCATAGCCCTTCAATAAAACTGTCTTTTAACACTCATTTCGTAATTAACAGAGACGAATTGGATTTGGGGAAGAACTTCGTTTTTACAAAGAAACGATTTCTTGAAGGTGGATCTGGTTCTTTAAATGGACACATCTGGAAATTCTGAAAGCAAATCGCAGAAAATTTGAGCGATTATCAACTCTCTCTCTCTCTCTCTCTGGGGGCAAGTTCAACGTATTTCTTGTGTCTTGACAATGGCTGCACCGTTCTTCTCGACACCTTTTCAGCCTTACGTTTATCAGGTATTGGCATCACTTCTCGCGGT